GGGGGGGGGGGGGGGGTCAACAGAACTGCTAACACGTCTCCGCGAGGGAGAGACCAAACCCTAAGGCTCCACGACATCAGGCCATGAGGTTAAACCCATATCCCGGAGGATAAGAGAAAGGTCCCACGGGCTTGCAGTGACCCTAGAACTGGCCAAACTGGCCTGCCTGAGACTGTGGCTGGCCAACATGGGCGAAGGTGGACCGCCACTCCCTACAGGTGGAAACCCGTAACTGCCGGGATGCTGCCGCAACCCAAAACCATCCGCAGGCTGGTAAGGGCCCAAGGATGGTTGCCCGCAGGCACCCGTATACCCTAAGCCAGGGGAAAACGGAGGCAGGAAACCGGCCCCCTGTCCAGCAAACCCCCCCAAAAAAACAGGTTCCCGGAAGAATGACACTCAGGACCGGACCTAATAGGACCAGGTCCGGGTTACTGACCGGGAGTGTAAGCCTGACCAGCATTTGTGCCGGGATTAGTTAGCTGCGCGTCACTAATCCCGGTAGACACAGACAATCCCGAAAAAAAAAGTCTGTAGCCACACCAGGACCTGAACCCGATACAACAGGCCCGGCACCAAGACTGTCCCCAACGACAGCACCATCTGGAATGCCGGGATCACTGAGAGAGTCAGTGACCGGCGGTCGGCAGTCCCTACCCGAAGGCAAGCGCGAAAGCTTACGGGCGTTCCCCGCCAATTCGACCCTTGGCTGTGCCAAGCCAGGATCGGGCTGTACCTCCCCTTCTCCAGGGAGTTCCTGGACAGGAAGGGCCACCCCCTGCTCACGAGAGGGACTCGCCGAAGCGAGACAGGAACAGAGACAGTACCACCAGACCCCAGAGAGCTGGTGGCACGACCCCTACCTCTGTGCTTCCCTCGCTTACCGGAGGAAACAGACGAATCTCTGAGGGTAGCTTTGGAACAATGAAGTCCTTGTCTTGAGATTTAGTCTGTGAACAAAGTTCACAAGGCGAAACCTCACTGCAAGGAAGACACCTGGGACAAGCATCATGAGGGTCCCGTTCCACAAAGAAATGGGAACACCCTTGAGCTCTACCTTTTCGCTGTCCCGACCAAGACATACCCTCCAAAGCGAAAGTAAACAAAAATGTATATGCAGATAACACGGGAAAAAATAATAAAATACGATAGTACAAAGTACGGAACGTAGAAAGAATTTCACCCGTAATATAAATCAGAAAACGGTTAAAATAGATAACGTTTGCCGAAACAAACAACCGTCACCGAAATAAACAGAGGTCGGAAATTAACCCACAGTAATGGCGGACCGTGGCACACCACCGGCACACGTGGAGTAAAATTACCGGCCATAAAAGGCCCAAAAAATAGTTTCAACAATAATTAATTATATTAACAAAGGCAGATGGGTATAAGGCACACAAACTGCGCAAAAAATTGAGTTCACACTCGAACCAAACCGACAAAACAAAGTTTTGAAATGGAGCAAGCTCCGGGCGTCAGCAGGCAGCAGGCGCCATAAAAGGAAGAGGAAGGGAGATCACTCCGTGGCTCTGTCGTCGAGATATGGGTTACGTCACGATAGGGAGGTAAGGATAATTGAATCTTTTGATTTTGGGCTACAAAGATGGCTGTAGGTATTGTATATGCATACTAAAGTTATGGTAATTATTACTGAAATGATAGTATCGTTCACATGATAAAATAAACACGAAACTAAATTAAGACAGATATTTTGTTGGAAGTATATTGTATGTTATCTGTGCCTGTGCTAATGACTAGAGGAAATAAAAAGACATGAATAATGATAATTTTTGGACTATATTACCTGTACTCCAGCCAGGTAGGCGACGGTCAAGCACTTCCCGTGACACGTAATGCAATTGACTGACCAGTTCAGCCGTTCTGTACTCATGCATTACGTCCAGTGCACGATTACACTCTTACCATGTCAGTAGATTGTTCGCTTAAAGTCCATTAGGGTCGATAGCGGTCAGAGGTCTGGGCATGTTTAATTGAAGGTTTTGGCTCTCTCTCTCATTATGTTGTGTATGCAAAACAAAACAGTTTTATTACAGGAAGAAAGAAATAGAATTAGTATAAATAGGCTGACCACTGTTGCACAAAACAGACGAAAGCTGAACACTCAACTCCTTACAACCAGCCTATTCAAGACTTTACAAGGTAAGTGCAAAGTGTTTGCTGACAAACCATATCTAGTACATTAGCTGTTTAATAAGAAACAGAAAGCGGTAATCTACTTCAAATTGTATATGTTTGTGCTCTTATAAAAAAAATACACTTACATCATAATATTATATATCTAGTTGTTAGCAGCATAAACATTCTTTCCGTGAAGGTTTAAGAATTTGGACATATATTAAGGAGAACTAATAGATTCGTATTTTATATAATTGCAATGTTTATCTTAAAACTGCAAGTAGTATTATCAAACCCAAAACAAATAATATATATATGTATTAAAACCAAAATGAGAGAACATTGTATATGTATGCTCAGTATTCAACAGAAATAAGATATTTGCTTATATACGGCACAGAAAACGGCATGCTTACCTAACTAAAATATAACTCGTGAAACATATAACAAGCATAAAGTGGAAAAAATAAATTTACCTGCATATAGTTTTGTTAATTCATCAAACAGCACATGTACTGTTAAACTGAAATTATTAATCATAATATCGTTCTGTTCTCGAATTTTTAAAGAGATATAAAAATAAATAAATTGATAAAATAAACAACAAAACTAGCAATGATAACGTGATTATATTATAAGTAACACCATCTCAAGTTTACATGTAGCTACTATTTGTTACTATTAAATGTACCGGGAAACTGTTTTGGATAATGTTCAAAATCTGTTAATATCAATCAAAACATCAGTAAAGAGAAATATAAAACTTGACTTTCTTATCAATAATTTTATATTCCCAAAGCATATCATGTCGGTGATAAATCTTTGTCTGGTCATATTCTCCATATTTTGGGGAATATTTATCCCGATTTGATGTTCAGTAAACCAAGACGAACAATTGTGTATCGTTTGTAATTGTCGAGAGGGATGTAAAGTAAAAAGACTTGTTTTACATTTAACTACCGAAAAATGTTCCTTAAACACCAACTTAATATCGTATGTTACGTTATTTTGATAAAACACTTGTAAAATTAACCCCGAGACATCCAAACATTAAGGTACCCTCGTGAGCGCAATATTTTACCTGCAAATGTTGCGTTAAAATTTAACCGAGTGAAATAGTTCAGATCGAGAAAACCGCGAAATATAACCCCAAGAAATTAAACAACTACACCGTGTATATACTCTTTAACACACGTTGTGTATAATCATTATCTATTAGTTATTATACACAATGTATAATTAAGACGATTGGCACGCCTGCATTTAGGCATTAGAAAAATAATACGTTCTGTTACCTGTCGCACGATTAGTAGGACATGACGGGTGGGAACCCTCAACAGAATTAGGGATTTTATTTTGTGCCACTTATTTTTTTGTACAACAATTATATCAAAATAATGTGTGTTGCACTTAATGCAACATGTGGGATACCTCGAGGTAAGCCTACTGTTGCGCATTCGCTCATACGGATACTTTTGGTGGTTCTGACCAATACAAACCAAAGTAGGCTTTACTTGTGAGGCGATAAAGTTAGCTAGTGTCTGTGTAAAACGATCGGGTGAAGTCATACTACAGTTTTCAAATTATGAAAATGAAATTAAAAGCTCTTTGAAATGAGTCCCTAAGTGGCCGTATAAACATCTGCATATGGCTTCAGATGTTACAGGGACGTACACCACTAAACAAATTATGATTAACAAAAACGAAAGTTATAATATACTGGTTCCTTTATCGCCGAAATACTTCGTGCATACCACCTCCATTATTGTCAAGAGCTAAGGTAAAACGCATGTAAAAATAAGTCAAAACAATAGATAACTGAAATGACCAACAGTCTTAATGAGGTACTTCGTATATTCTTGTAACATATTACTGCTGATAAAGATATAAGCATAGTCATTTTGTTCTAACAGTTAAACAAAAATACATGTTACAAATATTTCACTTGAACCTTATTTTCAGAAAAAATGTGGACTGTTGGCCTCCTTCTAGCTGTTCTTATGGGAGTATGTAGTGGTACATATAATATGATGTACGGCGGTGGCGGCATTGGTGGTGGCATCGGCGGTCGAATCGGCGGTGGAATCGGTGGCGGCTTCAGTGGCGGCGGCGGCGGCGGCTACAGGGGTTATGGTTTTGACGGGGACGAAGGATTTGGAATGGGCCGATATGGCGGCTCTGGTGGTTACGGAGGCGGCAACAGATACGGCGGGATGTACCAGCCAAGCTATGGAATCATGGGCGGGGGCTACCAGTCCTACGGAGGATACCCCTCGTACACGACTGGGTCGATGGGATACGGACGTTTCCCGTCAATGGGAGGTGTCGTTGGGGGTGTATCTGGGCCAGGGGGATACGTCTATGGCGGATATGGAAGGGGGCCCATGGGAGGGTCAGCCGGCTTCATAGGAGGTAGGAGATACCCTGGTGGTTTCAACGGCGGCAACCGCAGATACTCAAAAGGTTAATATATCCAAGTCATATTTATCTTAAACACGCACTACGTTATTTCTAATTTTATTGCCCCCACTTATACGTTATAACAAGTCTCTGTTAATTGGTGAGATCTAATTATATTTGCTCAATCGCTTGCGAACAACAAGATCTATTTATGCTTTCAAACTCACTTTGCACTTTATACGCAGAATTCAAAAGCGTTTTGTTGGTAATGATTTTATGCTTTAGTGCAATAATATTCCATTCATAATTTTCTTTTTGTTCGAATAACCATTGACTTTGCCATGACTGTTTTTAATACTGTAAAGTTTCTTCCAAGAATAGAGATTTTCAGATTTCCTTTAAACGTAATGATTTTGACATATATACCTTAAATCTTAAATTTTCAATGAACAGAAAGCTTGCCTGATCGCTTTGTTTTACTTTGTCTTTGGTTCATAATGTTGCCTTTTATCGTTGTTCCTGTAGTATATGTATCTCCTGTATTTTCCTCTATAACTAAGTATTACATGTTAATCATCATTTACAACATAAATCGGTTTATTGTGTTTTTTAACTAAGTTTATTTAGTCAGCTTTCCTCTTGGCTTAGAATGTAGGGAATGCTCTTTTATCAAAAGCTCACGAAAAGAGTCTATTATATGATGATCTGTGTGTAATATAACGAATTTGTATTTTTCAGGCAAGGGACGATACGGCTACTGAACACGCACAGCCTACCCTCTTGTTACTTAATCAATAATGTAGTATTTGATTGTCATTGTTTGTATTGTCCTTGTTGTAATAAAGTTCGTCTGATCCACATTTGTGTCTGCTGATATATCTAGATTTCTTTTCCGATTTCTATATTGTTGTTTGCCGTATGTATTCATATATAAATATGTGAGTAAGTTTACAGATCTACCGTGAATCTTATTATTATATTCTGATATTATATAAGGTTATAACGAAATTTGAAATTTGCACACGCATCAAAGCCATCAATAATATTTGGAAGATATGATATTATCATATAATAAAGTAAAATCGTGTTAATTGATACACAAAACACATAAGCATGTATAAATTATTTTAGTTTTTTAGACACCCTTTAATGGTTTCTAAAGGTTGAAAATCATAATAACTGCAAAAATGTTGAATTTATTGACAATGTTATCAAATGTATATCCAATTGTACTGAATATACTCAGATGAAGGGAGAATTGCAACAAATGAAAACATTTTATTGAGATAACATCATGTATAACGACTGTTACAAAGCGAGCCTGACATTGGACTATAATTAATAGTATTTGTATATACACATAAATGTCATTCACACCTGAGCGCACGGCACTACAAACGTCAAAATCTGGTCAATGTCTTCATTAATCACCTAATGATACAAAGCACTCAGTACATGCTTGACAATAACAACGATGACAATTTCAATTATTCCGACAAAGAAGGACAACTCTGTTTTACAAGTCCTATCACCTATCGACACGACCATGTATAATAACCGGAATGATGTTCGTCTTCAAGCTTTATGTCAACAATTTCTGAATACTTAAATGGTCGCTAGGATATGTAGTACACGCTATTCAATCGTCGGTTGCTATTTAGCCATGGCATATGTACATTGGCTAAACCAGTTTCTTATCTTTATAACTGGGCTGCACTTATTACGCTGTATTGAGTAACATCCATGTATTTGACAAAAATGAAAGGAAGTTCTAATACCTGGAATAAATTTTCATCAATACGCTTTTGCAATCATGTTAAATGAATAAAGATAGTAAAAAACAACAACGAAATCCCCTATAGAGGTATTATAGGCCACACAGATATGTCGATATGCGTTCTGATAAACCCATAAACATATTTTATTTCAATTTGAGTTTATATTACTTTCGTCGAGTAATACTCATTAATAATTGTTGTTTGGTTTCACAATTCCCAATGCCTTGCTTGACAATACCTCACTTTTGACTCTAATGTTGAACGTTCACCCAGGTTAGGAAGGCAGAGGGTTCTGTCCCCATGGCGGGATATATAGGTCCTGAAACAAAATAGTTGTTATTCCCTGATTAACGTTCAGCATTTCGGAATATTGCAACAACTGGTTGTCAATATAATGTAACTGGCGGAATACTGTGCTGGGTGCCTTCGGCATGGAATTTAAGTGAGGAAGCCCTATACACTCGGCATCAAATCGGCGCTATCACAAGGTGGCAATGACATATATGGTTGATAATATATATCGTCTAGATGTTACATAATTCTAAATGCTTTCTTTCGCTCGCCCTCAGCAATCGGATTCAAATTTCAGATTTCCTTTTCGATACAATAAATCACATTGACTCTAGCTGATTTAATTAATCCAACAGACGAAATCAAAAGTGATTTGATATATTGATTTATGTCAGTTTAGTTCAATTACAAGATGTGTAAAGAGACCAACTTTACTAAATGATTTTTTTAAATATGATGATTCTCAAATGCGAGTTAGATAAACTAGATGACAGGCCATAATGCTATTCGTGACATTTCTTCCAAAATCGTTTTAGAAAACAATATACAAATGTATTCCTTCTGGAAAATGTTTTGTTTTGCGATCGGGGAGATCATTGCCGGGAATTTTGACGTTATAATGGATCATGCAGGCGATAAGCATTATGAGGGGATATCTTAACTTTAATGCTGGCTAATGAAAACATGTCATCCACGTGTGGTAACATCAAATATTTAAAACAATAAACGATATATTATAAAGCATTGATAAGTATGACCTATTCCCATATTATAAAACATCAATAAACTAAATTAGATGAAAATAAAGGAGGTCATGACACATACACAATAGGGACCGCAAACAATTACACGATGTTCGGTGTGCGAAAGATGTTTGCATGATGTTACCACCATGCGTAGACAATAGTAAAACTGAGCTAATAAAGATTTCGTACATCTATGCGCTCATTAGACGAACGTAGCAATCTGGTTGATGGCCCCATTCTAGACTGTTTACCAGTCTCTGTACCTCTGTGTAACACGCATTAAAAATGGATATAATGCAACCTATGCTGATCAGATATTACAAATATACGATGTACTTTATTTCACGCAAGACTTTCGTATTTTCGTTATTCCGTAACCTTGATAAACCAATTATACCAATTCGCACAACGAGGCATTTGTTTTTTGAATCGCACGATTGTGCACACCATGGCATACATGGACGATGTGCGCACGATGTATTCGCCTTTTTTCTCGCACTATTGTCAGTGCTTTGTATGGCTACACAGCTATACTTCAAAACAAAAAAGATAAACACGATATATTAAAAACCATATCAAAAATAACGAGTGACTTGTGTGTGAAAAATAGGGACATTATGATAGGTTAAAACTCATCGTTTAAGATTGTTTAAGGTCTGATTCGATTTCTTTTGATTTAAAATTACTTAATTGCAAAATGCAAATGGGAATAATTTAAAAAAATGTCTTATTGTTTAAAATATACAATGGACATGTCTCTGCAAAGTATAAAACAATGATGACTGTAAAATTAAATCATTTTAACTAGATACATGTATATATTACAATGTACAAATCACATATATTACAAGTTTTAACCTATATAAAAAGTATCATACATGTGTCAACAGCGTGGCAACTTGTTTACAGGAGCAAACTGCCTAACGCGATTTTCCTTTTCGTGAACCTTTCTATACAACGCACCGCACCATTATGTATGATTTGAACAAAAATAAAATAGAATAGATTCATGGCTTTCGGATGGGTTCCGAGATCATCTTATCGACGAAACGAACACACAAATACACAAACCATGTAATTATCAGATGAATGGTGACTCATAATTACAAAAATGTAGCTTGTTGATTGAGAAATTACATGGATTGCTTGGTGTTTGCTGATTGTACTGGTGTGAACTACCATGGCTTATAATCTGCGCTTCATGATCACCCATGATCGCTGACATCGGAATGATTTGTGTTTGTTTGATTTAAGCTGAACTTCTTCGCAACAGCCATGGTCATATGAGGACGGGTGCCTAGGGAGACGCCACCAGGAAGAGAAAGTAGATAGCAAAAATCAGAAAGACATGAAAGATAGGAAACAAAAAGATCCCAAGTGTTGCAATGGAGTCAGTAGATTAATTTCGGTCTCTTCCGTGTCCTCATCAGTAGAAGACACAGAAGAAGACCCCTGATTCTGTAGGGAGCCCGACATTAGTCGCCTTTCACAAACACATGTAGTGGTATACAGCAGGTCTTTTCTTGATTTCTTCAATGTTCCTTAAATAAAAGACAAGGAAGAAACCATCCCCTAACATTTGAACACTGATATCTTATGATAAAAATGGAATAAATTCACTGGAAAAGAACATGTCAGCTAAATATCTTCCTGCCCAATAAGAATTCTTGCATTTCGCTCCATTAAACCACATTTTACTGTCTAACATGTTCTTAAGTTAAAAAAATGCAAGGTTTCCTTTAAATTTCTCTTCGAAAATATTCTGCGCATGCTTAGAAAAACTTGACAAAACATATATTTAACGTCTTTATGCACATTTTAACGGCTGACATAGCATCCGTAACAGAATATCCATATTTTCATATCAATGTCGGGGCAGTTATAAAAACAAGTGATACTATATTGTATAATTTTGTATGTATTTAGAAGCCAAGAATAGCTTAAACGTATATAAAATGTTATATTCTACATGTTTCTTCAAGTACTAACATCACCCAGTTTTAGCTTTCTTTCCCAGTACAATTTGTTGGTTATGATCGTGCATTCATTTTACTATTATTAGGAAAGATACCTTTTTTAAACATCACAATTTTTATAGATTAATATGATTTTCCTCTAGCGTCTCGCCAAGTGCAATAACATCAGGCAGACATTACGGACAGTGCTTTAATGTATCGTTCACATGATTAAAAAACCCCGAAACTAAATATTTTTATTAAAAGATTGTAATATGTTATTATGTGTCAGGGAGATGCATCGGCGGCGTGGATATGCATTCAGATATTCTGGTTTCACAGCACTCGTATGCTAGAGGGGCCCTTAGGGGGTTCCCCGTTCGTGGCCTCACTCTCGGGTTTGTTGTGATGGGGGGCCGCAGCTCTCGACCAATCAAATCCTAGTATTGGGTTCAAACGTGCGGGGCCCCTCCCATAGCGTCACTTCAGGAAAATTATTCCAAGGGCTAGCCACGCGCAGTTATTTCCCACCATCCCTCCCTGGTGCATTGCGTAGTATGGGAGGGTAACTTTGTAATTTGTATGAAAGTATGTTTTATGTATATGTTAATTAAATTCATGTGTTCTTTTCGTAGATGTAGAGTAACTGTAGATAGGCATCATACTGGTTATACTTAAATTAACTGAGCAAGCGTAGCACATCTCCACTATTGAGCGAGGAGGGAGATATGAGCATAGCGAATCAATCGTCACTATTAATATTAATCATGAGCGAGTGGAGCGAACATGGTTACATTATTTCTTCAAATAATTTACACCTACTTATTATGTTTTGACAAATTGGAAATTTAATAAAGCATAACCATGTATTGATATTTCACCCAAACCTTGGTTTTCTAGTCTTTATTTATACTTTATATATCTTATGTGTTCCCGTGCAAATATGGTAACTCATGACAGTAAGTTAAGACACATAGGTTGTTGGAAGTATATTGAATGTTATCTGTGCCTGTGCTAATGTGGAAATAGAAAGACATGACTAATTACATTTTTTGGACTATATTACCTGTACTCCAGCCAGGTAGGCG